CGTCTTTGTTTTATTGGTCCAAGTTTAAATAAAAAAAAATAAAAAAAAAAAAAAAGCTAAAACAACAAAAAAAATTTTAACGAAAATAAACCTTTTACGAAGATTATGTAATTGAAATAATTTAGTAAGTTCAAGTAAATTTTCTAAACCATTATTTAATTCTTCTTCACATTGTTGTTCAATAAAATATTCATTTGATAGTGATGGATTATCTTTAAAGAAAAAATTTATTTAAAATTTCAAGTTATATACATATACATACGACCAGGTTTTTTCTTCTTTTTAGATTTTGTTCCATATTTTTGATGATGATGATGATGATGATGATTTCCTGATGTTATTGTAGATTGCTGTCGAATTCGAGCAAAATAACGATGATCATCAATATCATCATTAATATTTTTCATTTGTGCTAAATAAGCTTCATATTCATGTTCATTACGTGTTTTTATTTTTTTAACAAAATTTAACCATGGACATTTATCTGTATAAATATATTCAAGAATTAATTGAAACATTTCAGGATCAATTGATTTATTTGTATCATTAATTATTGTTAATTTATCAATTTGTTTTTTCGATAATAATTGTCGAAAATATGAACTACGCATACATAATATATATTTATGTGCTGGAAATGTTTGATTATTATTTATTTCAAGAATAATATCATGCATATGTTCAGCTTCATTAAGTAAATCATGTAAATTTTCATGAAAATTTGATTCCGGTTGACGTGGATATGCTAGTAAACTAAAAAGACAAAAAAAAAACAATATAAAAATATTTCACTTTATTAGAATTTAATTACTGAGTTGTTGGATGATATTGAAGAGCAGCTAATGAACGTCCTGTACGATCAGTTGTTAATGATCGACATCGATGTAGCAATGGTATAGGTGATGGAGTTAAATATTGATATGCACGTTCATCATAAATTGAATTTGATGATGAGTCTACATATACGTAATTTATTTTCAAATATTGAACATTTTTCTAATGGAATGTAGATATCGGCTGCTGAAAATTTCGCAACTAACTATAGAAAGGTATGTATTATAACTCAAGGACATCAAAGTTCAATGTCTCGCAACGTCAAAAAGTTTGACTTCGAAAATTTCTCTTTGTCTAGCATATATACTTCTTTTTGTGCTGCTTGTTAATGAGTGTTTCTTTGATGATATTTTCCTTAAAACTTCTCATGTAATTCAAGCTGGTGAAAAAAAATCGAGGATCGTTTAATACTTAAACAGTCAACTACTTTCTGACCGTCATTATATTGAAGCATACCGATGGTTATTCTCCGACCGACAGGCAATCTATTGTTGGTGTATTGCTAGTACTTATGAATACTACAGTATGACAGCGGTAGTGCATTTTTGTTTATTACTTAATATATGAAGAATAAAATTGTTACTATGTAAGAGGAAAAAATTGTTGATTTTTTTGACTGATGTTATTTCAGCATTGACTCTGACAAGGTTAGAGTTCGATGCAGAGCTATACATTGAACATGTTCAGGCCAAACTAAAGCTCTCACTGGCAAATTTTGTACCAATAATTCAAAATCTAAGCAGGATTCATTATTCTCCTTTTGTTATGATTGAATAGAACTCGTCAAGTTATATAAAAAAATGTATATTTTAAACACAAAAAAAAATGCTTTTGAAAAGATATGTACAGATATTGAAGATAATTTGTGAATTTTTTTTTATAGACTTTCTTACATACCATGTTCAATTTTTTTAGTAACATTTAATAATTTATCAAGACTTGCAGTATAAACTTGTCCAGTATTCGTTGAAAAAATAACAGCATTTGTACCAGCAACTATTTGTTCAATAGTTAATCGTTGTCTAGTTGTCCATAAACATAATTTTGCTCGATTATTAGTTGATTCACGTTCATGATAGAGATACAACTAGAAGGACAAATAAAAATTGTTGTTCAATAAAAAATTATTTTCTTATTCTATTAAATACTTTTTTTGATTGCACATAAAATACTTTTAAATCATCATCAATATTTTCTTCATCAAGTACACTATTTGATTCAAGTTTTCCACCTACTACGGCTATTTCTGTCACATTCAAAACACTAAAAAAAATAAAATTTCAGTAAAGAAATTTATTTTTCTTTTGAATATGAATATTTTTGATCACCAAATTTATTACTAAAACAATAATACGATAGTATAAGAAATAGTAGTCATAGTTTTACAAAAAAATTACACGAAACTGAATGAACAAAAAGTCTGCGAATGTAAGTATGTGAGGGTAAAGAAAAGATTGACACTCACACTAGTACTTTTCTTTATAAGTGATCTGAGCTAAGGATTGTTTCGATCAGATGGAATTATTATTATTTGATTTTGTCTTAGCAATCAATTAACTTTCGATAGAAGCGTATCACAAAGATGTTTTCTAAAATTTAAACCGAAACCGAAACCGAAGATGATTTCAAATAGTAAGAATCGAACCGTTCTCTTCTCTAGTGCACTATCTACCTAAAAATGCACCAACTCTTTCTCATAAACATTAATTGTCTATCATCCATATTCACACTAATGTGTTTAGTGATCCAAAAGATAATATTTTTTTCTTTTCTTACTGTTTAACAATTTTTCGATATTTATAATCATTTAAGACATAAATATCTCCTTTATTTGTATAACATATAATTGCATGATCATTACAAACAAGTTTTTGAACATGTTCAGATTGACTATTAAATTTAGTAACAAGTAATGGTTGTTGAATATATAAATCATTTCCTTTTGGATGACCAAGATGTCCAGCATTAAGACCAAATGTAAATAATTGACTATCATCAACAATTAATGCTACATGAAAACGACCACAAGCTATATGAGTAATTTTTCTATCTTTTATTTGACGAAATTGCATCTAAAAACAAATGAATTATAGAATTTTTTTGTTTTATTTTGTTTATAAAATATAATTTACTTTTGTTGGTACTAAAAGTTTAACTACACCAGGATGACCTAATTGATGATAATTATTTAAACCACAACTCCATAAACATCCTCTGGAAATATTATAAATTAAAAATTTTATTTCTTTTTTTTCATTTGTTTTTTTTACTTTTCAGTAAGAAAATATGAACAATCACGTGTAATAGCAATATCAATACAACGATCTTGTTCAGTTTCTTTGATTGTTTCCATAGCCATGATTTGTTTAGGAATCTAGAAAAATAAATTTATTTGTTTGTCCTAATAAAATTCATCTATATATATATATATAAATTTCTTACTAAAACTGATTCTTCATTATCATGTCCAAGACGTCCACCAACACCGACACCACAAGAATAAACTGACCCATTATTTGATAGAAATAACGTATGATATTTATCCATTTTAACCTATTAATTTTTTTGTATAATAAAATGATTTTATTTTTATGAAATTTAATTAACCTTTGTTATACAAATTGAATCCCGACGAAATATATCAATTAATTCAGGAACTTTTTTAGCTGTTGACTAATGATGAAATTTATTTAAAAAAGAAATAATATACAATCTTCATAGAATATATTTTTAATTTACTTGAGTATGTCCTAAATTTCCATTTGTATTCTCACCCATTGTATATACTTCATAACTTTCTTTAAATAAGAAAAAAAACAACATAATATTAGATTTATTTTACTAATGAATAAACATAAAAAATTTACCAATATCTAATAGTTCTGACGGCGTTTCAATAAATGTATCTCGAATAACATGATCAATATATGTCATATGATCATAATCTAATAGACTTGTATTTGCACCGGCCTTTCAAAAAACACAACGTTAAATAATTAAAAAAAGAAAAGTATATAAAATACTTTAATAAGATTGACAGAATTATCAATTCTTCCATAGAATACACTATAATGTAATGCCTTGAAATCAATTTAAAAAAAAAAAGCAAAATTTATTTTAATTAATTAAAACAAAAAAAAAACTATTTTACAGTATAGCCTGATTCTAAATTTTTTGCATTGATATCAACTTTTTTTTGTTTTAATAACCAATCAATTATAGGCCATTTGTTAGATAAAGCCGAGCATACTTGTATTAATGTTCGACCATATTTATCATGGCCTAATCAAATAAGAAAAATTTTTCGAAAATAATAATATCAATAAATATAAATAACCTTTTGCGCAATTTCCACATCGACATAAATAATTGAGTATTATTGGAATTGATATAGATTGAGATGCAACACATATTAAGTCTAGGTAATGTGTTGGTGAACGGCATTTCGGTGTACAATCAATTTCAACAGAAGCAACGGGCATACCTAAATATGTACCCTATTATTATAAGACAAGACTAATAGCAGATCAAAAAAATAACATACTACTTAAAAAGTCATTTTGCGAAACTGAAAATCAAAAGGAATTATGTAAGTATAGCAGATAATTTCGTAAAGATCGAATTTGCTCGTTCAACAGTTATTTAAAGACGAAAAATGATGACATCGTCGTCAACAGGTGATGAGAGATGATGGCGCCACAATCACTGATATCCTAACATCACATAAATTATAATATTTAATTAGTATGAATTAAACTTCTAATAATAATAATAAAATTTTATTTGATTATTTTTAATTATTAATGTTGAACTTTATCTTTATTTTCTATTGTTCAATTTTGACAACTAATGAAAGCAGACATTTGCGTGACGTCATATAAAACTTTAGTTAATGGAACAAGCGAAGTATTTGCTTAGTAGTTGAAATTCATCTGTCTGTTTTTTTTACAAATAAAGAGATAAAAAAGTTTTTCCTCAAAAAAAAATCGGAAATATTCTATGATTTATCTTTAAATATTTTTCAAAACAACAAAAAAAACATATTTTGACTCATAATAAACTTTGTAAACTATTCTCATGGTCTTTTCTTTTTTTTTGTTTTTGAATAATTTATACATACTAAAACAAACAGTTTTCTAATATATCATTAATTTTTAAAGGAGATTATTATTCTTTTTCAAGTATGTTTACCGTTTTAAATTCGCTGATCTTCAATGGAAAACAACACTTTTACACATATTCAAAATTCTCCATCCATATCTAATCATTCATCAAATAGTGATACAATTATAACAACTACTCCAAATTCATTTGTTCTTTCACCAACAATAAACACAATATCAGCAACAACGTCATCCTTACAAGTCTTAGAGGTGAGTTTAAGTAAATAGAAATAATGCAAATATAAAGTATGAGTTAAATTAAACTTACTTATCACGTAATCATTTAGACTATTCCTGTCACTCGATCAATTCAAGTTTACTCTGACAATAATAATAACGGATCAAATATAATTATTACTCAACCAACATTTAAGTACATAGATAAATATAACTATTTATTATTATTATTTGTTTTGTTTTTTTTCTTAATTTAGAAAATTATTAAGTGAAACAATCAAACAAGAACAAGTGGAAGATAATTCTGTACAAGAAGATTATTCTATAGCGAAAAATAAATTAACAATTAATCAATCGACAACAAATAATAATCAACAACCAACAGGTAATAAATTTTAAAACAAAAAAAAAATATTTTATGACTCGTATTCTGTTTTATTAGTAATTACTGCTGTAAATCTTGATCCACGTGAAACAATAAACGGTCTTTCAACTATTTCGATGTCAATGGCGAATGTTGGTGCTCATATTATGTCTACTTTAAATTCAGGTCATTTACCAGATGGTGCCGGAACTTATTTTGTCTCGAGTAAAATGAATATCTTTAATATTGATATATGTATATAACCTTGTAGATTAGATGAATTTTAAAACGAAATACCTTTCTTTGAATCAAGAGAAAATTAATCTGAATAATAAGGATTAAATTTAATCGAATGAATAGCGGATATGATTTTTTAAATTTAAAATCTGATTTAAAAGAGAAAATTATTTTCAAATAGATACTAATTTCTAATTATCATTCATATGAAAAAATCAAAAATACTTAGATTTTAATCGAAGAGGAGGATATTAGATTAACACAAAAATTTATTCTGTTATATAAGATACAGAACGAAAGAGTTTCAATAGTCTTCACACAAATATTCAATAAATATTTTCAATATTTGATGAACATTATTATATCTACCTTCAATACTAATGCTAATTGTTGAATCTAGTACAAATTTTACATAATATAAACTAATCTCATAGCACGAAAATTTGCTTGATAATTGTGTTATTTAATTAAAATTGATCCAATTTTTCCTCATAGTTACATGTGATTTCATGAGATGGATACAAAATTCACGAGGGAACTATCCTCATTATAGTCTGCCGTTCGAGCTCACATTGATCCCTCGAAGAGGTTCTTGTAAGACTAGGAAATGTTTAAAAGATTTGTTCCCATAGGTCGTTGGAGCTCAGTTATGACTGTTGTAATAGATTTTTAAGCAATTTTTAGGTATTCATTGGGAAATCGATTTGTGTGAAGATTTCAGCTCTTTTGTCCAGTTTCTGCCGGAATATTCACAATAAAAAGCTGTTAGTAAAATCCCTGTGGAATTAAAATATGAAACACGATGTAGCTATTGTTGGTACTCATACTGAGATTCTTTTATTCTATCTATTTTGTGGCACATTTCTTAACCATCCTGTAACATATTCCTTCTCAACTCGGATCAGAAAGTAATTCATCCATTATAATAAGACGCTTATTCATGTAAGGTCTTTGATCGTATATCAACAACGTCTTGCACAGTTGGTGGCGAAGTCGCAGAATGTCTCTCATAGTCTAAGGAGCAGGAGGGGGCGATTCACGTTTCTCGCTATAACCTTCACTACTCTTGCCATGAATTACTCGTTAGTTATTATTAATTAGATATTAATTGAATATCAATTGGTTCATTATTCGTTATTTAAAGAATGTGTCCGTTATGATTTCGGAGAGGGAAGGAGTGACTTCAGGTTTACGCCCTATATACTTCAACACTCCTTTTAGATCGTGTTTCACAAAAAAATTGTTGAGATTACGGTTTATCAATAAGCCACAGTGGAGTGAAGTGAGAATAGTGATGAAACTAAAATTTCGATGCTTTGTTCGATTTTCCACCGTATTCTTGACAATGGTTTTATTGTCAAGCGCTCAGTGGAAATTGGGCAAATCGTCCAAATTCAGATGATGAAATTTAGGTTTACTGAAAAATCAAATAACAGAATTTTGAACGGAAATTTTGTGCACAGATACGTCTAATACCCTTAGAGAAATATAAAAGTTTCCGCTGAAAAGAGTACTTTATTGTTAAGATATTGAATTTTCAAGTCAACTTGACTCTTCTGATACGTCTATGACAACCGACTATTTTTTGGCAGTTCATTATCTCGACAAAGTAATATTCGCTTCTACAGGAAACTTTCATGTTATTCCAAAGACCATTATATCATCTATGGATCAAATTTCAGTGAAATATCTAAACATGGGTTGATAATTTAGTAAAGTCGCCATAACTTGGCTCCAAAGGTGCATGGTGGCGAATCTTTTAAGATATTCGCCCATCTTTCGAAGACTTTCTTTTGAACTCAAGTGACGAATTACAACTCTGATAGTTTCCTCATGAGCTGAATTATATTGATGTATCTTTAATGACTATCATCTCTATGATGAATTGTTACTTTTTTTTTGAACTAGGTTTGCCAAGTGATCTAGCTTCTAGTTATAAATTGCTTCCATCATCGAATTCTGATCTGCCATCTCCATCGAATTCATCAAATTCTTCGAATCCTTCGTCATCAAATCATCATCATCCACATCATCAAGTAAAAAGACATGGTGAAGGTAATGATCCCACTCGAAAACGAGAAATGCGTTTGCAAAAGAATCGGTAAAATAATATTTGTCATAAATTTAATTTTTTGATATTGATTTTTTTTTTTTAGTGAAGCAGCGCGTGAATGTCGTCGTAAGAAAAAAGAATATATAAAATGTCTTGAAGAACGAGTAACTGGACTTGAAAATCAAAATAAAGCATTAATTGAAGAATTAAGACAATTAAAAGAATTGTATTGTCAACGAGAAGAAACGAATAATAATACGAATAATAAAACGACAAACGCAACACGTTAGAAAAATAATTAGAAAAAAAAAAAAAAACAGTATTGTTTTTTGGTTATATATCTGTATACATTTATATTTTTCTCTTCAATTCTTTATTAACTACAATTTTTTTCTTGTTGCGGAAAGAGTTTTCTTCTCGTTTATTGTGTATTTTCTTGTCTACTGTATGTATTATTATTATTATTATTATTATTTTTTGTTTAATTTTATGTGATTCTGTTTTGTATTTTAAACTTTGTATTTTGTGACAATGTATGAAAGACAAGAAAGAAATAAACACAGTGCCTGTGTGTTCTTTTATTTATCGGATATTTTCTATAATTTTTCCTTATTGTAGACATGGTTATTGACGAATAATAACAAAGTGAGTTACTTTTGTTTTTTCTTTTACTTGCATTCATAATAAAGTTGTCTATAAAAGAAACGATTGTTTCAAAGAAATAGAATTACTTATTGTTGTTTCGATACTAGACGACTCAACTAACTGCTATAGATCTTTCATTGGAGAGAATTAATACTGTAGAATTTATTTCTAGAGGAAATATGTAAAATTTTCATCGACGAAAACTTACAATAAAGTTTTATATAGTTCTTTAGAGGACGTGTCTCGTCGTCAACCGAAATCTTTTTGATTTTGTTTGCTTCTAGTCTGTATTCGTTTCGAAATATCCTTTATCTGCTGAATGCGTTTTAAGAATTTAATATATAACTATAAAAAGACAATGAGTTTTTTGGCAAAAAAAAAAAGTTGAGAATTGACATTTTTTTGTTTAAAAATATGATATACCGCTGCTTTTTGTCAGAGTTTACGAAAAAAAAGCTCCTGTTAAAAAGAGACGAAAAAGGATGTATTTTTGAGAGTACGTCCAGATTTTATTGTTTTTATTCGAACGAAAGAAGATAGCAAGTAGGTAATCTGAACAGTGTCTAGTGTCTGTAAAGAAATATTTTGCCTTATCAAATGTATTATGACTGAGAAACAGTAGGGAGGAAGGATAATAAGGAAAACTATTTTTTTCTTCTTGCGGCATAATTATATCCCACAGAGAAACATTAAGGATGTTTGAGTTTATGACAATTTTTACTCTACTCATCAAGATCAACTCGTCCTGAAAGTCTCAACATTTCCTGATTAGACATTCTCCAAAAGTGTCGAAAAAGGAGAAGTAGTTCCTATAAGAAAATTTATAAAAATAACTTGATTATTTGTTTTTTTTGGTTTCGTTTTTATAAAATTTAATTCTTTGGTTATCGGGTTTTTCACAAGAAGACAAATGATGTGGATTTGCTCATAGAAGGCTAAATTCAGGAATATAAATCAAAGGAAAACATCGGATAACGCTATACTTCAATCTGTGCCTTCACATATAGTACTTACTGAATACTTCGCATATCTCTATGAATAAGCGTATGACTTCATATTATAAGATATATCGAATAAAATTGGACGTTTGATCTTCTGTAAGACTAGAGCCTAAGCAATAATTGCAACTGTCTAGTGCGATAATAGTTCTAGGATTTTACACACTTTTACGGATTTCTGCTTGGCTTCGCAGGGCTTTGAACAATTTTAGATTTAGAATGCTTATGAATTCTCATAGACCTCTAAATCCATAAATATTCTGTTTTCTCTTGATAAACATATACAGTTATATCTTATAATGATACTGTGATACTAAAAGCATAAAAGAAAGAGAGAAGATTGTATACATTATAATATACATAAACGAGTTCCGTAACCAAATAGTTAAAAAGCATTAATCTATCTATTAAAAGTACCGACAACGTTTTTTCGCTGATATCAGAAAGGAAAAAAGTATCATTAGATATGTTTTACTTTTTGTTTTATTAGTCTATTTAAATACGATGAGTCTACCTGTTCCATCGTCACCGACATCACCAAATTTGCATCGTTCTCATTCTGAACGTGATCTTATAACAAATGAACGTCGTTTAAGTCGAACACATTTAGCAAGTACATCATCATCAAATATTCCTTCACAAGTAACACCACTATCACCTATACCTTCGAATTCTTCAGTACCAACTTCACCACTTTTATTACCATGGGATCGTTTAAAAAAATGGTTATATGGTATAGCTGTTGTTACATTTGATCTTGAATTGGGGCAATCAATAGAACTTCTATTACCAAATCATTGTAAATTATCCGATAAAGAAAAATTAAATCTATCATATTTATCATTTCCGGATGCTAATTCAACATTTCTTGGTGATATACAATATCATTTTCGTATACGTCATGAATCAAATTTACCAGCATATTATCAATATTATAATTCAATTGTTCCACCAGCATTACAAGTTGATAATAATTCATTATTTGGTTATGTACATTTTCGTCAAATACGTGATAAAACAGTGAAACGTGGTTATTTTCAAAAATCACTTGTACTTTTATCAAAATTACCATTTATATCATTATTTATATCAATTGTTAGTCAACTTGGTCCAAATTATTTTCAATATGGTTTAACAAGTTTAGAAACATGTTGTCATTTAATGGATCGTCAATGGCCTGAACCAGAGCCAGGCAAAACATTATTATTACCTTTATTAGGTAATGTTCTTCAAGTACGTATTCCAACACATGGCGATAAACCATTTTCATCATCAGATCTTATACAATTTCGCTCAATTGTTAATGAAACAATGACAGCAAGTAATCAGTCGATTAGTAGTAATTCAATTAAATTACCTATTGATGATGATATAGATATTGAAACATTATCAAGAAATAATTCTCTAAGTAGACAACATCAGCAAGTAATTAAAATTTGAATGAAATATTTCATTTTTTATTATAAGAATTGTTTGTTTCTATTTTAGATTTCAACTACAAGTAAAAATTATTCATATACATCATTTGATTTTTTACAAAAACATGAACAACAATTACCACGTTTAATTCCATTTGTACATGATGTTAATACTTATCAATCATTAGTTTCTGTTTTAACAGATATTCAACTGTTATGGGAATTGATTTTATTAAATGAACCAATTGCTGTTTTTGGAAGTTTTCCTACTTATTGCTCACAAACTGTTCAAGCACTTGGTAAATTATTTTCTTTCTTTACGTAGAAAAATCTATGTGTGTTTGTATGACTAAATAATTTTGCTAAGAAAAGTTTAGTTCCTTCTCTTTAAATATTTAATAATCAATTCTTTCCTCTTTCACATGGAAGTTAAATAATTCAAATAGACGATCAAAGATCAAATGCAGTATGTGATAGTTTTATCTCTTATAAATTGCAACTAGGATGATACAGAACTATGAAATGAAATGAAAATTCTGAATTCTATTGTTCGTCTAAGTAAAAGTCATGACCAAATGTATTATATTTTCATATCAATTAAGCTTAGTTTCCTATAAGAATTTGAGTTTTTGTCATTTTCATATATTGATTAAACTTATTCAGTAATATTAATGATTTCTACTCAATAAAAAAAGTATTTGGTCGACGATTTCTGGTTTTGACAACTAGCAAATTTGAAAACTTGATCTCGACACATAATTAATGGGACTTTTAGGTAATATACTACACTTACTATAATAATACAAACTATTCTCACGGTATCGAATAGTTCCTGTATGCTACATATTACTTAATATTCTTTTAGCAGGTGTTCCATTCTCTTGATATTATGTAATATCCGATGATAAAACACTTTTTGATATCGAGAACATCATCTTTAATGTCACTACATATTTACTATGAAACATCTGCCAAAGGAATATCGTATTACTTTTCAAATATAAGTCAAATATTTTTATTTTTTGTTTTTGCTTTTAGTTCATATAATATGGCCGTTACGATACGCATCTGATTACCGTCCGTTTTTTACCATCCATAATAGTGAATTTCAAGAGATAACATTTGATTCATCAAAGAAATCTTCAAATAAAATATTATTATCATCTAAAATACCAGTACAACCATCTTTAATCATCGGTGTAACAAATCCATTTTTTGCTAAACTTCTTCATCAATGGCCACATATTATTCGTGTTAATGATAATCAAAAAGAACGATCTAAAACTAAACAAAATGGAAGTTTCTTTTTTCTAGAACATGATGAAAGTGATTTATCAACAAATGAACTTGAAGATAATATAGACTTATCATCATCTCCACAAACTACAGCAATAAAACAAGCATCAATAAAAAAATTTTCAACTAATATTAAACCTTATAAAAATGCACGTACAATAAATAGTAATTCATCACATTTAACATTCGATATAAAACCTGGTTTATATACAAAATATAAACCATATTTACAACGTGATAAAACTATATTAAAAAAACTTCAATCAACTAATTCTCAACAACGTCCAGATACAGTACAAAATGCTTTAATACGTCGATTTTTTCTTGAATTAACGCAAAGTTTTATTATACCACTTGAACGTTATTTTGCTAGTCTTTTACCATTACGTAAATATTATCAAGTTAATCGTAAACCACCAATAATAAAAGAATTTGATAATGAAGAATTTCTTAAAACACTTGATCAATATGGACCACAATTAACATCAGGTTTAAAAGGTGATTGGAAAGAATTATATAGACATTTTTTATCAACACCTAATTTTCGTCTTTGGTTATCAAATCGACGACTTGAAGCTAATTCAAAAATTTATTCATTATATATCGAAACAATAGCTAATTGTCGTCTTGAACAAGATTTAAAAATTTCAAAATTAACTGAAATTGAATTAGTTGATGTATTATTAAGATTTAATGATTTAATTCAACGTTTAGAATCAAAAACTGATGAGTTATTATTAACAATTGATCAAACACTTAAAAATGATTATATTGAAAAATTAAAAATTAAAATTAAAATAATTATTGAAGAAAAATTATCTGATGATATGAAATTATTATTTCATAAACAAGTTAAAATATCATTAACATAAATCTCTTTATCAATAAAATCAAATCGGTGATTAAAGTTATAGTTGTTTCTTTCGTTTTTGC